CATGAAGTTTCGAATCCGAGTTGCATTGTAATCATAAATCGTAAGAAGCAGTCCCTTGTAAATATCTCAAAATACGCTTCATGGTTGACCAATGATTCTCAGTGGGGGAATTCGTAAATTGACAAAAAAAAATTACTACATAAGTGAAGTCTGGCCGTGAGAGTGTGATGTACTCGAGAGCACCAACAATTTGTCGATAACGAACATGATTGTCAAAAGTTTGATTGTCACCAATCGCTAAGTTTGCATTCATGTCATCGGAGAGGAAATAAGTTTGGAAGCAGAGAGACCTACACGTTGTAACAATTCAAGAATATTTTTTTCTGAGACAAGATGATAGAGTCTGTTTGATAGTGTATTTCAACACCTAGAAAATAGGATAGAGCGCCCATATCTTGCACAATAAAGGAGTTGCTAAGGTAGTGTACCATTTGATTAATCACATGAGAATCATTACCTGTGAGAATAATATCATCAACTTAAACTAACAGATACAATAGAATGCCTCGAGATGAATAAACAAATAGTGATGGGTCGGTCTGAGACCCCTTGAAACCGAGAGCCAAGAGGGATGTGGATAGCCGATGAAACCAGGCCCGTGGAGCCTGTTTTAGGTCGTACAATGATTTATGGAGAAGGAAAACATGATCTAGATTTGTTTGATCAACGAAGCCTGGAAGTTGCTGTATATACACTGTTGCTTTTAGATCCCCATGTAAGAACGCATTTTGTATATCTAATTGTCTCTTGTTAAGTAAAACACAAAACGAATGGTTTTTGCCTTTACAACTGGACTAAACGTCTCTTGTTAATCAATCCCTGATTGTTATTTGAAACCCTTAGCGACTAATCGTGCTTTGTAGCGTATGATGGCATCTTTCTGGTCCTTTTTTAGTTTATATACCCACTTACAGTCCACAACATTTGTATTGTTTTGACATGTCACTAAAGACCATGTACCATTTTTCATTAGGGTTAACTATTCTTCTAACATAGCTGAGCGTCATTGTGGCAAAGTGTTAGCAATGTAAAAGGATAGAGGTTCTGTATGGGAGTGTAGTTTATACTAGTATGAAAGGATGAAGGCTGGTATGGTCTAGTTTGTTTAGGGTAAGGTTGAAGATGAGAAGGTCGCGGATGTGGAAGGGTAGTATTGGTAGGTTGTGTGACTGGTTGGGATTCCGAAGGTTGGAAGGGCGTGTCGGTTTGTTGTTGTGTAGTAGAGTTTGGCTGAATCGGGTAGGAAGTGAGCTGTCGGTTTGTTATTGTGTAGTGGTGGAGGGAATTGTTTTTTTGTGTCGATGGTATGTATGGATAAGAGGAGGTAAATTGTGTTTGGTTGGTATAGGAATAGTACAGCCAGAGTTTCAAGGTGAGGGTGTAGATTGATTTGGGTTAGATGTAGAAAGTGGCTGATTTTAGAGTGATATAGGAATAGGATAGGATGACACATATGGGTCATATTCTGGTGTTTTTGAGTTAGGGGATTGGAGCTGGTCATGTGGTGAAGTAGAGAATGGAAATGATGTCTCATTAAAATGAACATGGCGAGTAATTCAAATGCGTTCAAATGATGGGTCGAAACATAGATAACCATGATGTGAAGGGTTGTAGCCTAAGAAGACACGCGACGTGGAATGAGATTCCATCTTGTGTTTGTTTTAAGGATGAATATGTCGATATCACTGACAACCGAAGACTCGGAGGAAAGAGAAGTCTGGTTTATTGTGGAAGAGATGTTTAAAGGGTGATGTATTGTTTGTGTTTCGTGAGAGAATTCGATTTATGAGATAGACAACAGTTTCGAAGACAAAGTGCCAAAACTTTTATGGGACACTAGATTGAGTAAGTAGGGTCAAACCGGTTCGACAACGTGTCGATGTCTTTGTTCTACAAAACCATTAGAATTGGGAGAGATTGCAGAACTCCCCGTCCAATCAGTTTGAACGATTTTGAGTTTTGTTTGAAATTGTCTTTCAACCATCACAAGAAAGATTTTAAAGATCAGGAAAACATCAGATTTTAATTTAGAGGAAAGAACCACATAAAGCTTGAGTAATGATCAACATAAAAGAAGAAAATAAGTATGGCCATCAAAGGAAGTAACGGGTGCTGGACCCCACCCATCACAAAATACAAGATCTAAGATATGAGAACTTTTATAAGAATAAGGTGGTAAATGGAGCTTAGATGATTTTCCAATCAAACATGAGTCACAAACAAAAGGAGAACATTTATTTGACAAAGGTAACTGATATTTAGATAACATAGACTGTAAAAGATGAAAGTGGAGATGTCCAAACCGTTGATGTCAGACGTAGGAGGAAGCACGCACTGCAGAAAACACAATCTTAGGAAGTGACTAAATCTAAGGTAGACAGATTGAGTAAATCCCATCATTAATTAGACCCATAAGGAGGATAGTGTGGGTAGCCGAGTCCTTGATAACAAAATAAGAAGCATGAAATTCAAAATAAACATGGTTGTCAAGACAAAAATTTTGAACAGAAAGAAGATTGTGTTTTATATCAGGAACATGAAGGATTTGTTTTAAAGAGAAAGACTTGTTAGGTGGGTAAAGTTTTGAAGAGCAAACATGAAGGATGGGTAGACCCTTACCATTACCAACATGGAGATTGTCTTCACCATAATAGGGCTCGGTTTTGTCAAAGCTATGTAAGTCATGTGCAACATGATGACTAGATCCTGTGTCGGTCAGCCATGAGGTAGACACTTGGGAGCGGTGATTTGCATAGTTGGCTGAAGGTGGTGGCCTCCAAAATGTATTTGGATCACGGTTTGGACATTGGGAAGGAACGTTACCTATGTCGCACTTGTTACAACTTACAAGTTCCATAAACAGTGTTCTGATATGAAGCCCAAGAAAATTGGGTTCGGTTACCTCCATTCTGATTTGTAATATGGAAGTAACCTTGTGTACGATTGTAATTCCCTAGACCACGACAGTTTGATTGCCCTCGGCCACGAGTGTTTCCAGATCTATTAGTGTAGAATGCTTGAGCAAAATTATGGTTTGTTAGCTGAATTTGAAGGCCAAGTTGTGAAAGGAGTTGTTGTAAATTCAACAGGGAAGCAGATGACGTGGTTGTTATGTTGCGGCTGGTTGTGGTTGCTGTGAATACTTGAACAGGTGAGACTTCGGGCGCTGATTAATTTGTGCACATGTAGTCGTGATCTGAAAGGGTGTGGAAGTTTTCTAGTATGGATGGTGGATTTTAGTCCATTATACTCATCCCTAAGACCAGAGATAACCAACATGACTAGATCTTTTACTTTCATTCGTTCACCGATATTTGCAAGGGCCTCGGCATAAAACTGAGCCTGGTTTAGGTAGACGTAAGCGGTCTCACCAGCTTGCATTGAAAGTTTAATGAGTTGGGTCTTAAGGGTATATTCCGTGGAAGACGAGTGTGGAGCATAGGCTCACTCAAGAGAAAGCTAGAACTCACGAGATGTAACACCCTGAACATGTTGGAATGAAGATTCAAAAATTGTAGACAAAAGTAACATACGTACATGGGCATCAATGGCGATCCAGATTGCATAATCAGGATTGGCGACTTCATAAACTGTGGCTTCTTTTCCAGTTGTGGTTGTGGTTGTGGTAGTCGTTTGTGGGCAAAGGATTTTACCATCCACAAAGCCGAAAAGACTATTGGTAACCAGAAAAGGTTGAATCATGGTTTTCCAATAGTCATAGTTGGTAGGTGATAAAGTAAAACCAAACTTGTGAGAGTTATTGGTTGTCTTTTCGGTTGAGGTAAAGGCATTGAGAGGCTCCATTTGAAGAGGGATTATCGATTTGTAGAAGATGGTAGACTATTTTGTGATGTGTGCCTTGTAGCGGCAAATTTAGATATAGGGTTAGGGTGATTAGGCGGCTCTGATACCAAATGAAACTTGGTAATTGTATTATGTATTGATCACATACATATGACAGGAATATATAATAGATACATTTACACTCTACATCCTATATTATTAACTTATATTATTATCGTCTAATACTATGCATCATGACACCACCACCATCTATTGTTATCACATTGTTGTCCTCTTCTGCCATTAATTTGCAACCATTGATGAATGCAACTGTTTTTGGTTTGATATGATTTTCACAGGTGATGGTTGTGGGTTCATTCTTTCCAAAAACTCAACAACAATCGATTTTTTCCTGTTTTATTTTTGTTTTTCATGTTTGTGGTTATTGAACTTATTTTCTCATTCATGTTTGTGGGTTCGGTCTGTTATGATATTTGATTTTTTGTTTTGGGATTTAATTAGCCTGGAACAAAGATGAAGATGATGTGCATATCATATTCAACTTTAGATTTGACTTTGCCTATAAATTTGTGAAATGTGAACCATAAAGATAAATTAATGTTTGTATTTTATCATGCATCTGGTATTGATTTTGTGAATTTATATCAATATTTTGCTGTCTATTTTGCATCTAGTGTTGATGATGTATATATCAATATTCAATGAGTGATTGTTTTTTATTCTAAGCTCCGTATTGATGGTCACCAAAAGATATGCCTAGAAGATGAACAAATGAAAATGGTGGGGCGGAGGGAGGGGAGTGCCAACGGTAGACCGATGGTTTATAGTTGGTGGTTGCCTTTAATATCTATAAATGGTTAACGAATATAAAAAAATGATAAAAATAATAAAATGACTGTATTTTTGTATTTTACACTTATTTATCATAGCTTTTCTGACGTGCTACATGGAAGGACCATTGTGCAATTGTTTGAAACCATATGGACTAATTTTGGAAATTACGGTATTTTTACATTTAACACAGCTTTTCTGACTTGTTATATGGAAGGACCATTGTGCAATTGTTTGAAACGATATGGACTATTTTCGGAAATTACTCATTATTATTTTTATTTTTTTATTTTTATTTTTATTATTTTTATTTTATATCATCAATATAAAAGTTAACAGGAGGATGATCATAATTCGGTATTACAATGTCGGATGAGCCCACCGTCGATTTTCTGTCCCAAAAAATTGAGGAACCTCGAGAAATCCGGCGAAGGACATGCAAAGATTCGTCTTCAATCAGTCGTTTACCAGACGAAATCATCCTCCTAATATTAAACAGATTAATCGATTTGAAAACCCTATGTTTTTGCTATCTGGTTTCCAAACGTTTCTCCTCGATTGTAGTTCAAGTCGATGCCATTTCCTTCGCTTCTCCAGTCTTAAACCCTCACATTTCCGATAAGAACACCATCAGTGATGTCTCCCCAAGTAGGTCGTTTCTGCGCATGATTTCGTCGTTATACGGTGAGTCCTTTCTATCTGCCTATAGGTTTTTGATCAAGTTTAAAGGAGTGAAGTCCTTATGTATCGAACTTCTAGCTCCGGGTCATAGTGCTGTCGATAGTCGTTTGTTCAAATGGAAGGTTAAGTTCACGAAGAAAATTGAATCGTTTATGTTTCTGTGGCCGAATTCAGTTTGTGATAAGGATGGATTATGTGTTAATGGAAATGGGGATGAAGAAGAAAGCGTCGAGTTAATCGGTGATTTGTTGAAGAACAAACATGTCATTTCGTTTCAGTGTCTGCAGGATATCATGGCATGGCATGTGATGTTGTTGTACCTCGTTAATGATCTACCCATGTTGGAAGAGGTATCCATTAGCGATTCAGGGAGAAGAGGGAGGCTTTCTCTAAGTGGGAAAGAACTCAGTGAGGTTAAGGAATGGGTACATTCAGCTTCGGAAACTGTGCTCAATCGTGTAAATGTTCCTACTATAATGCGGAACTGTTATTTTTCGGTTTTGAAATTGCCAGTTTCAGGGTATGTGATGAAGGGGATCTATTTTTGTGTAATGGAGATGAAAGATATCGAGGGTGGAAATGAGTTTCTTATGAGCAGTGAAAATGGTGGTTTTGAAGATAAAGAAGAGTCTGCATATACTGAAGCTATGATGGAGATTTTGAAGAAGTATAAAGGCATGATGCTTACTCAGAACCTGTAAGCAATGTTCTTTTAACTTCTATATCTTAATCACATATAATCATAATTTTTGTTCTCCTAATGACAAATCAATTAGGTTGCATTTTAAGACTCTTCCCCTGTGCAATTAAATATCTATCAAGTTAGAACGTGTTCTTTATGCCAAATCAATTAAACATGATAGAGGACTTAATTCATTTAGATATGAACCATGTAGCATGAATCATTTGAGTGTATGTTTTTGTTTAGACTTTAGAGTTTAGACTTGAGTCCCTTTTGTGGTTAATTTTTTTTGTAGATCTACCACTCTGTTTGAAATTTACCCCTTAAAAGAAACCAACTTTTAGAAGATTAAGCAATTTGTGTCATTACATTTTGTGTTAATTGTGTTCTTTCTTTTTGCAGGTCGTGGAACCTTAATGAGGAAGCTGGGCAACATGGTAGGTTACAGTTTCGAATTTTAGAGCCATAAAAACTTTTGGATGCACAAAACTTGCTTGTTGGTTTTTTAATTGAATGTAATGAAGTCTTGCTGCTTTGTTATAAATGTTAGTTTGAAAATTGTAGATTTTGATCAATTAATATGCATTTGAAAGTTGTTTTTGTTAGAAGGGTAAAATAGTAATTTTTAGCATTCAGTAGATGCGTTAGCAACAGATGCGTTAGCAACCTTACAGGTTAGACAAGCAATAGTCGTTAATAATGGTACATTTTAATTAGTATTATTGAATTTAAGAAACTAATGTGTGCAATTAAAACGATAGCGATACAAGTCGTACATTTATAAATGAAATGACATAAATGTTACCCGTATATCCGGATATGTTGTGAACCCCAAATGGAAAGTTAGATGACTAATTTGTCTAGTAAAAATAGAAGTTTGCAAGAAAATCGTTCTAGCATTATCTAACCTATTTGTGAATTGTGATTGACTGTAAGATGTTTTATTTCCTAATTATTAGAACTACTTTGTAAAAAAACCATGCTACTCATTACAATTTATGTTATTTTGTATGTATGACTTTATTTTTAGGTTATTTTGCTATATTGTAAGAAAACCATGCTACTCGTTACAATTTGTGTTATTTTGTATGTATGACTTGTATTTTTAGGTTATTTTGCAAGTTCGCGCAACAACTAATGAGATGCTACTCATTACAATTTATGTTATTTTGTATGTATGTTGTGAACCCCAAATGGAAAGTTAGATGACTAATTTGTCTAGTAAAAATAGAAGTTTGCAAGAAAATCGTTCTAGCATTATCTAACCTATTTGTGAATTGTGATTGACTGTAAGATGTTTTATTTGCTAATTATTAGAACTACTTTGTAAAAAAACCATGCTACTCATTACAATTTATGTTATTTTGTATGTATGACTTTATTTTTAGGTTATTTTGCTATATTGTAAGAAAACCATGCTACTCGTTACAATTTGTGTTATTTTGTATGTATGACTTGTATTTTTAGGTTATTTTGCAAGTTCGCGCAACAACTAATGAGATGCTACTCATTACAATTTATGTTATTTTGTATGTATGACTTGTATTTTTAGGTTATTTTGCAAGTCCGGGCAACATATTAAGATAGATTGCTAAATGTTAATTGATAGAAGATGGAACGGATTTTTAAAACAAGTATTAGAGATAGAGTTTATTTTAAAGCATATATACTCCTAGAAAGGTAGCAACATGTTTTGGCATTTAAGTAATGCATATCACTATTTCGATCGAACAATATCAAAACACCGTTATGAAATTTTAATACCCTTAATAAACATTTAACCCAACAATATCTATTTTTTATTAAATGGCATTTAAGTAATGCATATCTTTACCGGTATCGGTTCTGTCCAATGCTCATCCATAGTGATTTGTTTTCTTCATGATGTTGTTTTGAGATAAAAACAAATGTACATCGCTAAATCCAAATGAATACTAAATAAATCAAATAAACATGTTTAATTAATAAACAATCTTTAACAAAATCAAAGAAACTTATGCACCGTCCAAGAGTATTAAAACTTTCCTTTAATCGCTTGAGTACATGGTATACTACCTATTTGTCGATAATCATTCAACCTAGAGAAAAATAACATATCTCAACTAATTCGAATAATAATAAACCAGCTTCAGATTTATTCAAATTCCAAACCATCATCAAATGCAAAATCGCCCAAATTTACCAATTCTTAAAACAGTAGGAAATCTATAAAACATCTCATTACCACTAAGACCTCTAACATTAACATCGAAATTCAACCACAAACTTGGTAATCTCAGTAAATACAGTGACTAAATAAACAATTAAAAGTTTAAGAAATCAACTAAATGGGTCTAAGAAATAACTGAGACCACTAACAAAAACTAAATTTGATTCTCACGCTAGATAATTAAATTTAATCATGTGTTTTGATCTTGTCTCTTTAGTCTTCTCGCCAATCAAGCCTTCAACAGTTCATCTCAATATTCCAGTCGCTATATAGTCGGTTTTTCTTGATTCAAGTCTCAAGAGCTGAGCAATCACCAACCAAACAAGATACTTAATTACTGTTAACTGTAATGAGAAACAAACAATTAAAAAGATCAATGAAGCATGTATACATTTCATACACACACAAAAATAACCAAAACCATCACATGTTATAACCTAACATTTTGAAGTGTCACGGAAACAAAGAGTAAAGGATAAACTTGACAAACAAAGGTCTATTGTGTTGCTATCACTTAAAAAAGGTAAATGTTTCTATAATGGTACTTTGCTATGTTAAGTTTTCTGAACCCAAATTAGTAGAAAAAATAGTGATAAGCTTTAATTTTGCTAGTCTTCATGTCATCAAGACATAACGCATCAGCCTCAACATTTTTAGCAAAAAACACACATTAACATATATAAACCATGACATGAAAACCAATAAAAGATTGATTTGTAACTGATTTTGCAATAAAAAATACATTGTACCAAATAGTTGGTTTGAATCTCAGATCCATTATAAACTAAAACTCCATATTTGATCACTTGAACTAAAAACTCTAGGTTTGAATCTCAGAAATAAAACATACACAAAACACAAGCATACAACAAATTACGTACAAGAGGTAGTAGTGGGTGTTTTAAAAACAGGAACATATCTTAACTGATACAAGATTCTTTCAACTTAAGCAACTTCAACATTCTCTTCACTTACATTTTCCATATGCGTAAATGATTTGAAATAATCAAAAATCCTTTTGAACTGATACAACACTTCTTGCCAAGTTCAAGCTTAAATAAGTTGGAGAAGATTTGCGTCACAAAAACTCAAGTATGCAGGGGTGTTTTCACGGATCTGAAGGTTTGTTTGAGGCAAACGAAAGAATGTGTAACGCCCCGTTCCTGGTACGTATTTAATTTGATTAAATGTTTCTTTTTGTAAGAGCTACTCGGCGAGTTGTAGCCCTAACTCGCCGAGTAGATGTCGAATTGGACGCGGGCTTTAAGTGATCTACTCGGCGAGTCCACGCCTGGACTCGGCGAGTAGGCCAGTCAGGAGGAAACCCTAATCCTTAGGGTTTGCACCCTATTTAAACGTCCTTATAGCCCCATCTCAGCCTCCATCACCCTCAGAGCATTCCTTATCGAAACCCTAGTCTCTATTGGTGAGTTTGAGTGATTGTTGCCTTGTGAAGGGACTTTTGGCGCACATTGGAGCAAGTGGAAGAAGGAAGGGGTTGAAGAGCTCAAGGTAGGGGACTTAGATCCAGAACACATTCATTTGTGGTCACCCATTCTGGTAATAAAGTTTCCATCTTGATTATTGATCTATTAGATCTTGTTTGTCCCTAAATTGTTGCTTTTAAGCCCTAAAACCCCAAATCCTTGGTAGAGAAACCTTATGGTTGGGCTATACTTCAGATCTGGACCCTCATTACCTTCTAGAGTTGTAAAGTCTCAGTTATGTTCGTGATTGAGGTCCCTCTTGAGCTTAGAACCCCATTAAGAGCTTAGTTTTGACATTTGGAGCCCTTAAAGCTATGCATGCATGTAAAGTTTGCAACTTTACGTGATAAGCATGCCCTAGAAGCCTAGATCTGTGGTTTGGAGCCGCTGCATGGCTCAAACCAGGTCTGTATGGAAAAAGGACTGAATGAACTCGGCGAGTAGAACGCTGGACTCGGCGAGTCCTATGAACATAGCCGTGAACTCGGCGAGTTGGTTGAGCAACTCGGCGAGTTCGTTGAAGATTGCCTTGAACTCGGCGAGTTGTTAGAAGACTCAGCGAGTTGGCTAGGGTTTCTTCCAAATCTTGGCCACGTATGAACTCGACGAGTTAAAAAGGGAACTCGACGAGCCAATCAAGGATTTCACGACTTCTCGAGTTCAGGAAGGACTCGACGAGTCGGTGATCTGCACTCGACGAGTCGAGTCAACATAGACTGTTGACTTTGACTGTGGACTTTGACTTGGACCAAGGGTTGACCAGTTGACTTCTGATGGTTTCTGGTAATTGGGAGATTTATGAAAAAGGTTTGTATGGTACCTATAGGTGGTGGAGTTCGTGTTGGACCCAGGAGTTGAGCCTTCTTATTTCCGACGACAGTTGCGAGGTGAGTTATCCTCACTATACTAAGGGGTCTAAGGCACCAAGGCCGGCCCATTGGATATGATATCCTAGTAGTTGTATTATGTTGAGTATGAGTTAGTTATGCATGCTAGTTTGATACGCTAGAGGGTAGGTCTGTAGGACTACTTGTGATACTGATTGATTGTCTGTATGTGCATTATCTGTTACATGTTGATATGTTATGTGGGATGGGTTGAGGTTGTACTGCTCCGTGCGGTAGCCAACAAACCCTAGAGTATTCCAGATATGAGCTGAGGGCCCGATAGGCATTCCAGACTCATACTGAGGACTTGGGAGCATTCCAGATACGAGCTGAGGGCCCGGTAGGCATTCCAGACTCGTACTGAGGGCTCGGTGGCATTCCAGATACGAGCTGAGGGCCCGGTAGGCATTCCAGACTCGTACTGAGGGCTCAGTGGCAATCCAGATGTGAGCTGAGGGCCCGGTAGGCATTCCAGACTCACACTGTGGGCCCAGGGGTATTCCAGTCTGTAAAGCTGTGGACCCGTTATGTGCTGTTCTGCTCAGTTTGTTATGATATGTCATGGTGTGACATGGTTATGTGGACTGTATGTGTATCGGTATTTTGGGGGTAACTCACTAAGCTTTCGGGCTTACAGTTTCAGTTTATTGTTTCAGGTACATCAGGGGATCGCGGCAAGGCGAAGGCATGATCGTACAGCTCCTCCTATTATGTTATGTTTCTGGGAAAACTCTGATATAAATGTATTTTGAAAACAAAGTTGTAATGTTTTGATAAATTCGACATGTTTTGAAAGTTTAAATTTGGCTTGAATTTTTGGGTGTTACAAGTTGGTATCAGAGCCTTGGTTTGAGTGAATTGGAGGAACACTCGTGTGACTCCAGTCTCAAATCAAGGAAAGGATTTTCAAAATGATTTTTCAAAAAGGTTTTCAAAATAAATAAAGGAGGATGCAGGGCGTACGATCAGTCGGAGCCAGTAAGTAGACCCCAAAA